TTTAAATAAGAAAGATCAGTAGCAAGACACATTACATCCATAAATAGTAACCATATGTACCATAAGAAGAATTGAGGAGCACTGATGACTCCTAAGATTACCTCTTGGATATTATCAATAGCATCATTAAAATCTAACCACACACTCGTGGTCAGATAGCATTCTCTAAGTTATTGTATAGTTGTTAAAAGTACTAATTAAATTCAATTTTCATTATTGACCCTCGAAAGACAAACAGTATTTCTTAATTTATTTTTTTTTTAATCATCTCAGAGTATGTAATACAACTCAAATAATTAAGGCTTGCTCATGGTCACTTTCCTAGTTGACAGGCTTAGACATATATCTTGTATACTTTCAGTAGGGAAGTAGACTCTTTCAACAAAATAGAAATTCAATAGTCACAGTTTGAGTTTTGACTTAGACTCTCTTGCTTATTGATGCATTTCCCCGTTTGACAAAACACTACTTTATATTGTTCTGAGTATATCACTCCCCGAAGCTGATAGTTTAAGCCATATTCAGAACAGTACAGTGTAAGATTTATGCACCTTAGGTATTATCATTTGCTATGATTTACAAAATCACACTGTCACTACTGCTTATTCTGATGGTTTCATATGTTAAATGATCTAGTTAATAATAATAATAATAGATCAGTTAAAATGATCTATGACAAGTTTTGCTGGACAAGAAGTATTTATCTGTTTTCCCAGGTCAATGCCTGTTCCTTTTTTTCAGAAACTATACTCATATTTACATAAGATTATTAATGTTGAGATGCACATATGTGGTTCTTGTACAACCGAGTAAATTAAGAATTCTCAGAGTTAGATGAACATTTCAGCATATAATAGAGTCACAGTAAAGAATAGAATGTTTTACCTCTGGAGACATCCAAAATTACACAATGGCTTAGGGCTTTTGAATGTTTAAAATTGACTGCATAAGTACAATACATTCTTTAGTGGTTAAAATGCAACATAAACTGGAACACACTATGTTCCCTCTACATTTGTGCCTTTGAAATTAGTATTTAAGTAATAAATTCATTTTCCACAGTGAAATAAAAAAGAGAACCCTTTTCTGTCCATTTTTTTTTTCTCCTGAAGGTATTATTTTTATTACATTGCTTGAGTAGATGCTAAATGATGACTACATAACAACCTTGAAGCAAATGTGAAATTGTAAGAATTAAATAGAGAATATCTGACAAAGTTCAGAAAGGAATGACCAAAGAAATATAAAACAAACAAACAAAAAACAACAAACAAAATAAACCCACAAAGAAATGAGAGAAGATCTAGTAATAAATATAAGAGGATAGAATCAGTGCAAACAGGGAAACACAAACTTTGAAGAAAAAAGACTCTAGGAAGCACTTAGACTCAATGCTTTTATGCCCAATGGTGTTTTTGTTTTGTTGTTTTGTTTTGTTTTCAGGCTCCAGTAACTCTTTCTTCCACTGTTTGTTGCTTTATCTACACATTAGATGAATATCACCTACACTGAATGTAGGTGATACATTCAACGATACATGGATATCCACTAACTAGAACCTTTGAGTTCTACGTATTTTTATTGCTTCACCCATGGATATGTACAAAGGACCTGTCATTCCCTTTGAATTGTAACTAAACTGTTAATATTAAGAAGTAAGCTATAATATATTTTTGCTAAAAAACATTCCCCTGTATTCAAATTTCTCTATGATTTTATTAAGCTAAAAAATAAATGATGAATATATTCACCTTCAGAATTATTCTCCTGTTGCTGGAAGCATTTACTCTGTACCATTCTTACTATACCCATACACAAAATGCAAATACAGAGCTCATCCCAACACAGAGAGAACTCTTAAATAATTCCTCTCTGTGCAGATATGAATATGTAGTTTCTTTCCAGAGGTGAGCAATACCTCAATGGTTTTTGCTTCCGCATCATCTTCTATCCTGCAAATTCTCTCAGGAAACACTCTGTAGACCTTTTTTGAATTATCTCTTTGCTTAGCCTGTTTGTTTGCTCTTTATGTTTATAGAATGTTAATCCAGTATACTCTCACATGGTCCTCATATTAAAAGTACATAAATCCAGTCAATTCTAGTAATTTTAATTTTCTCCCTTAGCTTTGGATTTCTGATCACCACTGCAAATTGACTTCAAATTAGGCATGCTGTGAGTCTTCAAAAATTCCATACTGGAGTGTGTTCCAGCTGTTATAAGCACTGAAGAAACAAAATGGGCTGGCCCTAATAGCCAAGTTTCCACCCGAATACTCACTCACTCCCCCTCTCAGCAGGGCAAGGGAGTGAAAATAGGAGCAATGAAAGAGCATGTGGGTCAAGACTGTTTACGTATTACCACTGTGGACTAAAACAGACTCAACCTGGGAAAATTTAGCTTAATTTATTGCCAATTAAAATGAAAAAAAAAAAAATACTAATTTGGGCTGTGGGAAACATAAAGATGAACATTATTAAAACAACAGCTTTCCTCTCCTCTTTTCCAGCTTTATTCCCAAACCCTTTACCCATTCCAAGTGGCACAGGAGGTTGGGAGTGTTATGGTCAGTAGACAGCATTTTGTCTTTGCTACTGGTGCACCCAATGCAGAAAACTTCTGGTTTTTGAATTTTCATACTCAAAATGTTTGTATCAAGCTTGGAAAACCACTAGCTCTTTTCACGTTGGCAAACACAGTCAAGTGAACCTTTCAGTTTGAAACTGAGTTGTTAGCTTCATTATCACCATTCATAATTTTCCTTTTTTTTCTACATGTCCAGATATGTGCTCCTGTTTCTATCTCTACAGCTCATGCCATATATTACATGTAGGTGTGATTAGTAAGAACTGCAAGTCATTACCACCGTGAATATTTACAGAAAGCTAACAAAAAACACAGAAAGGATATTGTGAGAATCAGTAGGGCACTTTTGAATGCCAATCATATTATTAATACCTAATTAACAAAAGCAACAAGAATATAAACTAAGAAATTTTCACAGCATGCTGGATTTATCCTAAACCTCTCAAATGACTTAAAGCTACCGTTCAAGCAAGGTGACCTCTGAAACCATTGTAAGGAAGTTCAATTTACAAACAAATATGATTGACTGTAAACAGCAAGAAAAACAAAACGAAGGTGATGTGCATGTACAAATGCCATTTTGGAAACAAATCAAAGCATTCATAAATAAATAAAACAAGTATTCGATTGTGGTGTTACTCCACACACGTAAGAGTTGCAGCGATCTCAGACATACTTGGGTCAGAGCAAGTACAACCCCATAGCTGTCCACATATATGATTTTGGTAATGTGAAATGGCGCAAGGAAATTAAACATACCTACAGGAAAACAAAATATAGCTAAATGATTGTTTTGAGAGTTCTGTCAGAAAAAAAATATATATATATTTTTGTCTCATTTTGTATTTTTCTCCATAGTTAGAGGTCACAGCAAAGTTAAGGGGCAGATATTTGCCTTGCTAAAAAAAGATTTCTAAGTTACTGACATTCACTAATGATTCCCTGAGAAGTACCTTTGCTGAATACTTGGAGGAACAATCAAAACAACCAATTTTGTAGTAAGAGCTATATTATGGTAAAATACATTTTTTATTCAATTATCAGAATATAAAGTTATTATAATGATCTGTTTGTATTAAATAAGTATGCATTTCTGAAAATGTTAATTTTATAGATTCTTTTTTCTCTTAGATGTTTGAAGGCCGCATAATGCTGAATGTATAATACTGTCTGCATTTTGGGCTGTGATCATCTTCATACAATTCTATTGCTATACTTATTCCTTTAAATGATTGGTCTGTGAAACATTTTCCCTGTACTTAACACCAAGGGTTTGAATACAAAGTAAAATAAAAACCGAGTTTGGCAAGCATTTTATTTCCATTTCTTTTGTTTTCTTTATCTACAGTTGTATGACTAAAAACATCACAGGTAAGGAACTTGTTAAATATCACATAGAATCACAGAATATCCTAACTTGGAAGGAACCCACAAGGATCACCAACTCCTGGCTCTGGATAGGACCACCCAAAAATCAGACCATGTGTCTGAGAGCTTTGTGCCAATGCTTCCTGAACTCCAGCAGGCTTGGGGCCTGGACTGCTGCCCTGGGGAGCCTGTCTTAGTGCCTGACCACCCTCTCAGTGAAGAGCCTTTTCCTCACATCCAGCTTGACCCTCCCCTGTACCAGCTCAGGTCCTGTCACTGTCCCCAGAGAGCAGAGCTCAGCGCCTGCCCCTCCACACCCCTCGTGAGGGAGCTGCAGGCTGCCATGAGGCCTCCCCTCAGCCTGCTCTGGGCTGAACAAACCAAGGGTCTTGAGCTCCTCAGATGTCTTCCTCTCTAGACCCTTCACGGTCTTCTTAACCCTCTTAGACTGGTCACTAATAATTTTACATCCTTCTTATACTTAGGCACCCAAAAGTGCACACAGTATTTCAGGTGAAGCCACATCAGCGCAGAGCAGAACAATTTCTTACTTTGACCGGCTAGCAATGCTGTGCTTGATGCACCCCAGGGTACAGCTGGCCCTCCTGGCTGCCAGGGCACACTGTTGACTCATATTCTATGTATTGTCAAACCCCACAGTCTGTATATATACCCAGGTACAGAATGAGGGCACTCACTCTTGTTATACTTCATGTAGTTAGTGATTTCTTAGCTCTAATGCACCAAGATCTCTCTGCAATGCCTCTCTACCCTCGATGGAGTCAACAGCTCTTCCTAATCTAGTGTCATCTGCAAATTAATTTACCATACTTTGAAGTCCTGCATCCAAGTCATTTATGAAAATATTAAAGAGCACTGACCCCAAAATGAAGCCTTTGTGAATCCCACTAGTAACTGGCCTGATTTAAGTCCATTTACTGATTTGAGCCCAACACATCAGCCAGTCGTTCACTTCTTGATCACTTCTCAATTCTTCATGAAAATATTTTACAGCAAACTGTTAAAGAGAGCTCTCTTTTACTTACATTGATATCTTCCAAATCCAAATTATTCAGAATGACATTATTCCTCTTCCAGATGATAGGAGGTCTCAGAGTTCCCTGGATGGCACAACTTAAGACAGCACTTTGTCCTACTGTTGCTGCAGTGATGCTTAGTTTTTGATCTTCTGGCAAACTCAGCTGAATTACCTCTGCAAAAGATATATTGTTTTCAAGGTTAATTTGTTTTCAGTTTCATAAGATTAATTAGTATGCAGCTTTTGTACACTGGTAATTTAAGGATTTTAATTGGAATCAAAGTAAAAAGAACTTCCGACAACCACAGGAAGTTCAGAGTTTTTCAAATAAAGGTCAGCATGACATTTCAATTAAATTGACTGACAAGCATCACCATATAAAAAGAGAAACATTTAACATGAAAATGAATTTCAGAGGTAAGACTATCTAAAGTTATACAACAGAAGTTATTTAACAGTAAGGCCAATGAAGCATAGTAGCTGTCATCTTCATTTGACTAACATGGCAATATTGCTGTAAGAGTCATTCATTTTCAGAAAAGAATATTATGGAACTCAGTGTAAGAAATATGCAAGACTGAGATGAAAATGGACAAAAAAGTGAATTCTGCTTTCAGAAAACAGAACTAAGGTATGACTTCTTCCTTGGTGTGCTTTTTTTTTTTTTTTTTTGGGGGGGGGAGGGTTTATTTATATCAGTGAAAGCACAGTTTCCTGATTAATGTGATGTTAGTAATTTCTTCTATTTCAGTCTCAGAACACTATACATTAAGTCATAGTTTAAACACATTAGTTTATGTCATTTTTAAAACACAGCGTTAAAATATTTTCTACACTTCTCTGGTCAAAAATGATTTATTTTACAATATCTGGAAAATACTGAGCCAGAATATTAAATATTTGTATAGTTGAATAAATCTTTCCTAAATACAGGAAGTAAACAAACAAATTAAAAATAAAAAAATAAAAAAAATAAAAACCAACCCTGCACTTTAAAGCATCAGTTTGAAACTGCTGTGTCTGCCAAGTGGCAGCAGCAACAAACAGGATGGAACAGAGCACCAAGCAGAAGAGCACAACAGTGAGTAATGTTTGGAGGCAAATGTGAACTAAATGCATTATTTCCTCTGAAGTCATCTAGATCCACAGATACTCACTACTTTTTGCATTTCCTGTGCAACATGCAGTAGAAATTGGTAGTGCCAATAAGCTATTTCACAAGGTTTGGTTTATTTATTTAGTATTGCTTAAATACCCTTCTGGAAAATATCTGTAAATTGATAAATGTAGAGGATGCCCTTTTAAAAGAGTGTCACAGGGTCACTACAGCCTCATTTAAGGTATCTGTAAAGAGCAATAAGGTCACCCCTGAGCCTCCTCTTCTCCAGGCTGAACAAGCCCAGCTCCCTCAGCCGCTCCTCGTAAGGCTTGTTCTCCAGGCCCCTCACCAGCTTCGTCGCCCTTCTCTGGACCCGCTCAAGCACCTCGATGTCCTTCTTGTAGCGAGGGGCCCAAAACTGAACACAGTACTCGAGGTGCGGCCTCACCAGAGCCGAGTACAGGGGGACAATCACCTCCCTAGCCCTGCTGAGCACTCAGTCTTTAAAAGAGAATCATTTTAAGGAAGTATTTGCCATACAATTTTAGAATAAATCTATTTGATGAAAAAGCAAGTAAGTAAAACTACTATCAGTAGAGAACTACACTCAATTCTTTCAACTTTACACTGTTTCAAAAGTAAATCTTCCACTGTTTATCACTGCCTCTGGTATTTCATACTGCATATGAAAAAAAAAAAAAAAGAAAACAAAATAACAGAAAAAATAAGAAGAAAAAAAGAAATTTTGTGAACACCCATGCTCAGTTCTATCCAAGAAAGAAAAAAAATATCTTATTTTTCTGGTTAACCAACTACTCAACTTTTTAAATGACCTTTTAAAAATTCAAGCATGTGTGATCCAGGCCTTGAAAATTTCTCCAGTAACCAGTACAGTACACAGGTCTTATGTTAATATAAGGATGCCTCACTTTTATGTTTCACAACTCACTTGGACACTTACAGAAAAAAGAAAGAAAGCGGGATAAATATTAGTTTGATGATGCTGTATACTCTTTCTTCTTGTGTAATTGCTTAGATGTGAAGCTAAACAGCTAAGAGTTGTCCTTTCATTTGTGCTGTACTTGATTAAATATATGATAAAGTTTTACATTTGTAAGGAGTGTGTGTGTGTGACCAATGTATTTGGTCTAATATGTAAGACTTATATAGGAATTGAAGATCATCCACACAGGAACGTTTTTACTTCATGCTAAAGCACAAAAATAAATAAGTAAATAAATAAAATCAACCTTTCATTTTTTAAATACACTACAAAAGGCATCACGTACCTATTCTCTTTTAATTAGAAAATTACTTTCATATAAAAAAGACATTAATCTTTCCATTACAGCAAAGCAGCAACCTATAAGCAAGCTAAGATCCATTATTAGTTCCATTTAGCCATAAAAGCAATACTTTGTAATTAACACAATTAAAAAGACAGTATAGTTTAATGCTTTTTCTTCATGCATCAGAGAACTATAGCTTCAGGAAAGAAAATTTTGTTGTTCCATAACTGAGCTCAATGATCAATTTTTGTGTGGTTAAATACATTAATATTCAATTTAGACAAAAAAGACCTTATTTTTTCTTTTCCAGAAACTGTAGTGACACTGCCCACCAGACATATATAAATGTGATTGACTCATTTTTTCCTTTGTAGCTGCATGCATTATCTGACACTGCTTATCAAACCACGTAAAAGGGAATGTACAAATTAGGTTGAATATAGTAATATTTACTGTAGTTTTTAAAATGTACTGCATTCACCAGAAACATTTCAGCTCCTATATTATAGGAGATGGTTCTTCAGAGATTATCACCCAGACTTCTTAAAACATACCCAACATGAATACTGAATGATTCAAAACTTCTGACAGAAATTCAGTGTCAAAAAAAAAATCTCAAAAGGTAATGTTAATATTATGATACTCAGTTTATAAAGGAGTAATTCTCTGAGTTTTCCAAAGCCAATACTTAATTTAGCATAGTCATTAAATAATTATCATAAAACTAGCTTACGCTATAGGCTACACTATGAAAAATGCTAACCTTCATATGATAAATGCAGCTACCTAAATTCTACAACATTTCAAAGCCTTTTTTTCAGTTAACTCTAGTATTACTATGGATGCCTGCGTACAGAAGGCCGGTACCTATTATAGAAATGCTTATCTTTTTCAATTTGAATGCAACTGTAGAAAAGGGAACATTTAGCAAATGCAAAACTTAGCATTTGCTGCCTTAGTGAAGACAGTATTCTAAATATCAAAATAGAGCCATTACTGTACTTTTTTGTTGACTTTTTTTTTTTTTTTTTTAACTTTTTAACTACCTTTTATATAGCAGTATTAATAGCCTTGGATACATTGCAATAATCTGGAAAATCATCCTCATAAAATCAATCAATCAATCAATCAATCAATAAAATAAAATTAAATTAAATAAAAAAAAAAAAAAGGGAACACTAGTTTTGCTAGAGGAATTCCCTAAAAAATATTTAAATAATTATCAATCTTCCATAAATATTTTTGTATTCCATTTATAACTTCTATCATATGCCTATATTGCAGTAAAACAACCTGAATGCATAATTTCTTAACATTAAGCATGACTGTCCCACCTGGACACAGTCAAACCACCTGCATTACATATTTGTTAACAGTTATTAAAAACAAACAAACAAAACAAACAAACAAAAAAAAAACACTAATAAATACACTCGGAGCACCATTGTCCCCCAAAATACCAAGCAACTGTTAAGTAAAAACTTTGTATATAATTACATGTATTTAAAATGATTTTTATATTAACATTATTGGTAAAATTGAAGTAACACTTTTTATATATTCTAAAGACGAAATATATTTGCTCCTTATTAAGGGAGAAATGGAGAAAGGAAATCCCAACCCCCAAAAAAAACCTAGGCCCACAGAACAGCACCTGAAGCAGAGTTCCTTGACAGGTAATTCACTGAAAATCACTGTCCTTGAACAGGCAGGGTGGAAGAGGCACACACCAGTGGAAGTATGGGGTTGAGATGTGGAAAGCTTTCTCAGGTACAGAAGGCAGCGCCTCTTAGAGCCCAGGTTCATTTGCAAACAGAGAAGACAGGTTCTGGAACTAAATAATGCATTTGCCATCTCTTTTCTCCTCTCTGAAAGAAATACACGTGTTTCTGAAAGCAAGATTGTTTGTTTGTTTGTTTTTGCCAGAGGCGGAAGGTACTGGAAGATATCACCTGCTAGGATAATTCCTAGCTTTCTGTCTACATGTATGTCGCCCTTGTAAATTAAATTAAAATATATCTGCTGCGACTAAACCTCAAATAATTAAATGAAAAAGCAGAGCAAATATTTAGAAAAATTGGAAATCAAATGAATTCAATGTAGTAATATCAAAACCAATCAAACAGCTACAAAAAAAAAAGGGGGGATATTGTTGGTAATGGAACAGTAATATTAAATTTAAGTAAGTAGTAGGTTTTAGCTTATGCCTTGCTGTTATCAAATAGAAGTGTGAATGCTCTACTATGGTATGCCATATTAATGAATTTGCTAGCATCTCCTCCAAATACAGTATCAGTCTGATATACGTCCTGAGTTCTTAACTAAAAAAAAAAAATATTGGATAAGTTCTAGGTAAAATGGAGAAATGCAAACAAAAATGGAACAAGCCCATTTAGATAAAACCTAGAGGTATAATTAGGGTGTGAAAAACAGAATAAGTTAAAGACAGCTGTGTATAAAATCTGGTTGGAAAATAAAATGTATGGTTATTAAGGATGACAAAAATACTGAAAGCAGAGTAAATGCTAACTGCTGGGAGGACGTTCTAAAACATAAAACTGACTAGGTAAAAAAGAAGTCTTACTGAAGGCTGAGAAATGGAGCAGCCATGAGATTTGTCAAAGCCTTTTAACCATCCTGCTGACTCCCTTACCCTTCATTCTGCTAAATGGTACTGAGTCAAATTCTTCTGCTTACTCCCATTATGTATTTCATTATTAAAGCTGTCACTGTATGTGATTCAGTTTGAATTCATCCATCTCGAAAACCTATGACATAGAACTGTA